GGGAAAGCCAATTATGGACTTATTAACACATTTTCCTCCTTCCTGTAACAGGAAGCTCTGCATTTTTGTGCGTTGTGGAATGTGATTGAATAAGAAATTCAGATTTCTGTTCAGGAAAATTGATCAACTCCTCCTATCTTTATTATATGGAAGGGCTAGGACATACTTCTTCCCTGGATATAATTAAGATATGTGCTTTAAGGCTTTATCTATGGTTTCACTGTTTTAAATGAGAGCAGCTGTAAAATTTGTATTGGAAAATCAAGAAGAAAAATGTTAGTAATAACCATCATCAAAAGAGGGAATGATAACCAGACAAGTAATTGCTATAACTTGCACTTTGAGTGTTCTGTTATACCTGGGTTTTCAATTTTCAGAGCCTAAATAGTTTTGGGTTGGGAGGTGTATATAGAATAATTATGTCTCAGAGACACATTGATTAGATTGGTTAGATTTTCATTTAGCTCTACAATTTTATATGAGAAGTATTCTGAAGTGCATAAAGAAAATTCTTAGTGACGTCTGTGTCTTCCATAAATACCTCACAGTGAGCTAACAAGCAGCTCAGCAAGGATAGAAAACTTCTATTGGAATTAATCTCATACTTTCTAAAAGAATATCAAAGTCAGTTTTCTGCATTTTGTGCATGTATATTGGCTGATATTTGAGAGAGTTGTTAAGCACATTATCTTTTGGTACTTGTGGAGCATTTTTATTTCCAGCTGAGAGAAATGGTAGGCTATGGGCCAACATTAAAAGGATGAGCACTTGTTGTCTGTAAGGTATTTGTATGCAGAGGGTGCAACAACAGAAGGAAGAATGCAAAAATATTTTCATACCTGGGAACCCTGATTTTAACAGTTTTCAAGAATTACTTGAAGTCCAAAAAATAATTACATTAAAGATAAGCCATCTTCAAGAAAAGTTCTCGCACCATCGGGCAGAAAGAGCTAAGCTGTTCTTTCCTTCTAATACGTACAAGCAGAAGCGAACATTAAAGAAAATAAACATTTTCAGCAGTTCTGGGTTTTGGCATTTACAGTTATGGCATGAAGACAAGCAGTAGCTTAAAAACAATGTTAAAACAAAGCCATAAAGTTTGTCCAGAGTTGTAATAAATAGGTGTCATGGTTTAACCCCAGCCAGCAACTAAGCACCACATGGCCGCTTGCTCACTCCACCCTGGTGGGATGGGGGAGAGAATCGGAAGGGTAAAAGTGAGAAAAATCGTGGGTTGAGATAAAGACAGTTTAACAAGTAAAGCAAAAGCTGTGCATGCATGCAAACCATGGAATTAATTCCCTGCTTCCCATCGGCAGGTGGGTGTTCAGCCATCTCCAGGAAAGCAGGGCTCTGTCATGCGTAACGGTTACTTGGGAAGACAAACACCATCACTCCCAACGTCCCCCCCTTCCTTCTTCTTTCCCCAGCTTTATGTGCTGAGTGTGATGTCATATGGTATGGAATAGCCCTTTGGCCAGTTGGGGTCAGCTGTCCTGGCTGTGCCCCCTCCCAGCTTCTTGTGCACCCCCAGCCTGCTTGCTGGTGGGTGGGGTGAGAAGCAGAAAAGGCCTTGACTCTGTGTAAGCCCTGCTCAGCAGTGCCGAAAACTTCCTTATGTTATCAACACTGTTTTCAGCACGAATCCGAAACAAAGCCCCATCCTAGCTACTGTGAAGAAAATTAAATCTACTCCAGCCGAAGCCAGCAGAGTAAGGAAGAGTGGAAGAATACAGTTGCATTATACATGCTACCAGATGATAGTCAGGCCAAGAAAAAACTGAGAGTAGCAAGAATGTAAAATTTCCTATGATTTTTTTTTTTTTGAAAATTTGGACTAGAGTAAGGTAAGAATTTCTTCAAATAGAATGAAGGAAATGTCTGTAGCAAGCCTTGAAAGGGACACATAAAATGAGCACTAAAATTCACTAAAGATTTATGAAAGACCTTTTACCTGTTTTGGTCTTTGGTTTGAGGCCAATTGTGTCCTGTAATGCAGCCACTCGTAAAGGAGTGGACCTAGAAATTACTCTGTACTGGCAGCTGTGTTGCTGTCACCCACTTCTGTTTTGGTGTTGTTTTGCTGCTGTTACTGTATTAATTAGAAGAGATCCTTATGCCATGTAAAAGCTGGATTGTGTATTTTTAGATTATACATGCAACTGTTAATGGTTTTGGACATTGCTAAAGTTATGTTGTATTTATGCTGCAATATAAATAGAAAGTTACAAAATCTACTTTTTAAACAGAGCCAAATGCTTTCCTGTCACAGTATTGCTAAAATAAACTGATTGCTGATTTTCTAGAATATCAAGAAGAAATGCAGTATTTAGCTATGATATCAAAGTGCAGTGGCACAAATTGCATTTAAAAGTGAATCAAGATACCATATTAATTTCTAGCTCTGTTGCCTTAAATCAGACATTGTATTATGCTTTCCCTTTGATCTACTTGGACCCTTTCCAGATAATTTCATTGCATTGTTTTCAAACTGTTGCAAATCCCACATTTTGAAGAATTAAGTCCGTTCTCCAGTCATTCAGGAGTGAGCAGTATATTATCTTCCTCCTTCAAATTTGTGTACATTGAAATACACTGCTTGCAAGGAGGAGAATAAAGGCTGGAATTGCTACCTTGATAAAATAGTTACAATAAAACTGATAAGATTTTGCTTTAATGTAATACAAAGAGGAAAAAATAGGAGAGAAAGCTTTGAAAGCTAAGTGTGAGTGAGGTCTCTCTCATTGTATGTTCTGAGCCTAAATTCTCTAAATCTAATGATACTTTGTTCTTACACCACCTAAAAATATATGAGGGGAAAAAAAAGTGTTTACAGATTATAAATAGGTTTTATTTATGCCATTCTTGCTATTTCTCATAAGTATCTTCTATGTTTCTACTCATCCTTTTCATTTCCTATCCCAGTTACTCCTTCAAAGTCACGGATTTGTAAAACTGGCCTTGTGGACTTGCTTGCGTCTATGTGCTGAGCCATTGCTTTCAGCAGGCTCTTCAGTTACTTAAAAATTACATTCCTCTTTGAAGGAGCAGCTTCAGACAAATAGTAAATTACAGATGTTGGCATTCTTTGGACAGTGAGGATATGATATTACTCATAAGAGTCTTAGCAGGGTTTTAGTCAGAAGTCTGTCATCCTCTTTTCCCCATTTCCTCTGGAGCTTTTTAATACAGAATGTAAGATTATTTGTAGTAATTTAGATCCAGCTGAATGTTGCTTTCTTTGCTTGGGCAGGCTTCAAAAAGCATGTTTTTAAATCCATGTCAGCCCAGTCTGTCAAAAGTTTTCCTTCCTGTTTTTCCATGGTTTAGTCATTTCACTTTGTTTATTTTCATTTATCACAGGCCAAGTTGATATCTGTCATTCCTTCCTTATGCCCACACCTTCAAATGGAATGGGTGGTTGTAGTAGATTTCCCAGATGACTGCACGAAGAGGCTATTTCAGGTGTTTTTCCTCAGAAACCTCAGTACCAGGATACGATGCTTTCACTGAAGGTGATGGGCCAGTGTCAGCCAGGGAAAAGTCTTCTGTTGGGAGATCTGGATTCTTCGCTGTACTCTAGCATTACCCTGCTGTGTGGCTTTCGGTAGTTCACAAGTGCCTTCGCCTCTTTGTGGTAGACTAGAATAAGCCTTGTCACCTGGGGAGCATCTTTTTGGGTCTCCTGAGATCCTCTGAAAACCAGACACTCTTATTTACTGCTAATAGTACTTCTCACATTAACTGGGTTAGCCTCCAGTAATCTTAGTTGTTATTTCTGACTCATGTTACTCGCACACTTTCTTGTATTTTTCATGTATCTGAAGGGTCCTTTGCTATTTGGAAGTTTAGATTTTCCAGTATGAAGGTGTCTTTTAATTTTCAGTTCTATATTTTTCCCTTTTTGACATTGAGCTATTTCTGCTCCCAAAGCACAAGTATTACTTAAGACTTTTTGTACTTAAGGCTGAATGTTAATAAGGTCGTGAGATTATCCCATTTGGAACTCCCAAATTACTTAATTCCTTTTGTTGCTTGGTGTATTGCCATTCTGAAGTGTGATATAAGTTGATACCCATGAAGAAAGACACTGTCCTCCGCCTAAAAATACATTGACAGCAATTCCTTTCCTTTTACTTTTTTGCAGTGATGATTCTGGATGAAAATAAGGAACCAGTGAAGGCGAAGACTTTAGGAAATATTGTGGTAAAGTAAGCAAACTAAGTATCTTACAGTTAAGAGAAGTTTCCTACATGGGTTGATTGTCTTTTGGCTGAAGTTTATATATATAACGATAATTGAAGTAATCAGCATTGAAAAGCATGGCTGTCTCTGATATTGGTACCCAACTGCCAGAACTTCTGTGTCCATCAGTGTTGAAAAACTGCAGTGAATGTGTGGGTTGCTTTTTTGTTTTTTTCTTAGACTACAGAAAAATTTACTATTTTCTTAATTACCATTCTTTTGGCATAAAGCCTTCCTGTTAGGATGTATGAGCAAGATACTAAATCATTCTCTTCTCTGTCTTATCTTTCAGTTTAGTGAAATAGTACAACAGTGCAGATTTAAATGCTTTGGTTTACTGGTGTGATGCTGCCTTCTCTTTCACTATTTCCTAACCCCAATTGATGCACGTTCCTAGAGGGAGAATATGTGTTTTCTGATTGCTGTAAAAACAGCAGGATGTCTCTGAGTGTGCTTTGCATGAAACTGTATTCAGTTATGGTGGTACTTGGACAAAATACATACAGGAAAAGACTCCAGGAAAAAAAAAACAACAAAAAAAACCCCAAACCAAAAACCCTGCTGTGTATCATGTAGGTGATTTTAGTACCATTTACCAGACTCCCATCAGATGACTTCCATAAGCTTTAATATTCTTTTTGAAAGTACACCTTCCTTAGCACCTTTTCTTAAATAAAGGAGCCTCTGTGTAGATAACACTCTGAACATCAATTACATTTCTCTTCTCTTACCTTCAGCCGTGGCGCTGTTCCCAGAACCTTTCCTTACTTCTGTAAAGCTCAGTAAGCTGCTGCTCCCCCCAGCCCATGCCAGCTCTGCCAGGCTTTTAGGCAAATGGCGTTTTCCTCAGATGGGTACTTACTTAGTGATTAACACATTAGCTGTAGCCGCATCTCTTTTTAGTCATAGAAAATACTTCAGTTCTGAGGACTTCCTAACTGCCAGCAAATACAAGTCCCAAAAGAAATGCATTCATCCACTTCTGTGGTGGTAAAATTTAGGAGAGTTGTGGTAACTTGGATTCTTCATTGCTTGCTTAGGTGAATGGAAGGAAATACAAAGATTAGCATGAACCTTCAGTGAACTGAAATCTTTTCAAAAGACAAAATGTTGGGACAGATGGGACAGATGTCCTGGTTTTGATGAGTTGTTAAGAGCAGGCTGGCTGGCTGCAAAGTGCTTGCTTGGGAGTCGGAGTTGCTGAGGTGTGGAGGTTTTTTGCTCAGCTGTACTGCTAATCTAACGTAGCTAAGACCGCTGTGGAGGTTAAAATAGTATCACATGGAGTTAATCTACTGTGGGACACAGGCATGTATTTTCAGGATGAAGTCTATATCCTGCCTAATTCTCAGCATCTTAGGCTAGGCCACCAGGATGCAGAGGCATGTGTTTAATTGCACACACGATCTCCCCTGAATCAGGAGACTCTCATTTAGATGTAGTTTTCCTGTGACACATGTAAGATTGTGCATTCTTTCCATTGCTGAGTATGAATAATTAAAATTGCTCCAGCCTTTAGTAGACTGTGGTTTGCAGTATCAGTAACCCAGGTCAGAGTGGAGGGCTGTGCTTTCAAAGCTCTCGCCTCTGCAGTGCCTGATGCCATAATAAAATGTTGGCTTGTAATCCATGGAGAGAGAGAGAGGTATTTTGTAAGAAAATCATCCTAGCTGTCTTAGGCATTCAGCTAGGATGGAATAAATCACCTTCCAGATGTGCTCATATCTCTCCACTGACTGCACATCTAGCTTAGGGTAGGTGCTCAGCGTTATCTACCAAAAGTGAAGTGAAATGAACTCCATCTTAAGCAACTCTGCCAAACAAGCTGAATTATATCTAACAGGTAATGTTGGTAGATGTGTGCATGCATTTCTGAGTCATTACTATCTCTAAGTGCCTGTCAGGAGTGGATATTGCCATATTAGAAGATCCTGTTTGGGATTATTGTCAAACTCTTGAAGCCAGAATTTATCTACCCTAATGTGGCCCCACGTTTCAGCATTTAACTTGAGGATTACAAATGTGTTTATATATTGCTTGTTGTTGTTTGTTTTATTTTGTTTTATCTTGCCCAACGTTACTTCTGCTGCAGTCAAATAAATTGATAGGGGAAAAAGGAGGGGCAGAGATGTTGTTTTGGTTTTGGTTTTTTTTTTTTTGCGTTGGATCATTCAAGAAAGAGTAATGGCACGTGGACACTTATTTTATCACGCCCATATTTATTGCAATATCCATTCTGAAATAGGGGGGAGAGTAGGGGGCAAAGAAATTACATTGGATCATTAACATAGTTTATATGACAACAATTCTGAGGTAGGTTAACTATAACACCTCTTTATCTTCCAGCCTTTTTCTTACTTAACCTTTTGAGACAGTCGGATCTTTTCAAATTCATTCTACACCTTAACCAAAAAGAAAACAAACCCAAACCAACCAAGAAAACAAGGCCAAGGTACTGATGAGCTTTAGGAGGCCCCTTGTGGATTTTTTAACACTTCCAAGCAAAGAAGCCTTTCCTCTGTTCATCTCTCCAGCAAGCTTCTACATGTACAGACCCCTCAAAAGTAGTGGGGATGATCCTTGTTACTAGCAGTGTTTGTTTGTCACCCCAGGGACGTGTCCCCATGCAGCTGGAAGAAAATGGAGGAGTCAGGATTGTTTTGACTATTACTCTGTCATACACTCAGCAGCAAAATACAGCATACTGTTTTAGGAAAAAACACCACGGTTTGCTTTATCTGCAGCATCCGTGAGTTGAGAAATATTCTTCAGCATTTCTCGAAGAGGAGAATGGCCACACATTGCTTACAATACCTGCTGTGCAAAAGTGGTATGCTGCTGCTCTTGGTTATTTTTATTCCAGTCTAACTCCCAGTAAAGCCTGCTGAGGGCTGCTTGAGGCCTACAGTGCTCATAAGTATAGTATTTAAAATTTCTATTCTTACAACAGTTTTAAACTTTAATTTTATCCTGCAGGAGTCAAATACTTTAGAAAGGTAATTCTTACACCTAATTACTCCATCTTTCTGCCCCAAATATGTTCTTTTCTTTATTAATTCACTAACTGATAACTGGGTTTTTTTCATATAGCCATCATCTCTGCCCTTTGGAAAGATTTTTGCTGACAAGAACTCTCATACAGGCTAATTTACCTGGGCAATGCAATAATCTTTTTGACTTCATAAGTCTTTCAGGATAAAGTAATCAAATTCAGTGTCACAACATTTATGATGAAAGTGCAAGGGTAAATGAAGATGACTGCAGCTCATGAGAGTGGGCTTGTATGAATTGTTTCTAAATTTACATTTGTTGGAGCCAGAATCTCTGGACATGAAAGATAATTAACCGAGGATTTATTCTGAAGTGAGAATGATAGCAGCAATGACCTCCATTTCCATTAGGAAGACCAGTCTGATTTAGTGACACGCTTCTGCTTGCGTTGTTCTGACCTGCCTGTAATTAATACACACCTCAAAATGTGTGTGTAAACATTATTAGCCATGACAATTTTCAAACTTGTCCATTCTCATAAGGAACATTAGCAAAGAGAAATCCCATTTAAATTCCAGTTCAGTGGGGAAACTCAGTTTTGCTCTTGTACGTTATAAAGATCGCAAGCCCATTATCTTTATTTTATGAAGCAGTCATCAGCACTGTCTCATTAGCTAGCGTTGTTCTTTATGTTCATCCACAGCAGCAAGAGGACTGTATTTGCCTTATACTCATCCTATCCGGAGAGTAATGCCTGCCAGTAAATCTCCCACTAGTTACGCTTCCTCTAGTGCTTGTGTAGTTAATTTTGTGCCATAAAAATAGAGGCTTACGGAAAAGTATTTACAAATCTGTTTTACCAATTTCCACTGCACAGACTCACCTAAATATTTCTGTTCCATATTCAGAAAGAGGTGAGACAATGTAGTTGCGTCATACAGTGATTCTGAAATTCTTTGGTTGTGTTGCTTAAATTGCATTTAAGAATAGCAACTGTGTGAGAGACTCTCCAGACTATTAATGTTGTGGGGTTTTTTTCATGAATTTGGGATTAGTGGAAGAAGAGGAAGGAAAATTATAATGTTCTGTCAAAAGTTAAAAGGATTCAAATGATGACCCACCCCATTATACAAAGTAAAATCATGCAAAACCTTATGTACAGTGCTGGAAGAGTGTAAAGTATTGAAAAATAATATTTATTCACAAGTTTTTGTAAAGAAAGTGTCATGATAAATTTACAGCTTTTTATAATTTTAGATTTTAAATTATCTGAATAGAAGTGTGACAGGACTTCTGAAGCAAATGCCATAAAGTTAATATCATTTAGTGGAAGAGATGTTGTTCAGAAGTAAGCAGCCCATTCACAGTTTCACTATTTGTGTTACTGTGTTCAATCTTTATACAGTATTTAGATATTCAATAAAAAGCTTAGTCATTTAATATTTCTTATAATGAGTTTTAAAAAAAATCAGTATCTATGTGGAAGCCTGAAGCAAATTGAAGTTCGGAATGTAATCATTAAGATGCACAATAGAAATGCTAACCAAAAGAGCTTAAAGGGAAGAAAAGGGAAAGAAAAAGATGTAATCTTTTGCAGCACACTGTAGTACCCTGGTATCCCATTAAAGAAAATAAAGACAAATCTTGTAAGACTTGACGGATCAACATACGGGCATTGTAACTTGGGATACGCACATGATCACAGCTTTCATTTGTGCTCTTCCCTTTCCCAGGAAGAGAAGGAGGCCGGGCAGTGATGGCAGTGTTTTTAGATAGTGAAAGCAAGGGGAGAGAGACTCCATCTGAAGCCATGAGAGGGGTATATGGCCTTAGCTCAGAAGGACAGGTAGATAGAAGCTACCTGAGATGCCAAAATAGCTGCTGAAGATCTTATTGCATAGTGTCTCAGGAATTAATGTTGTCAATTTTTGTCTTTCTGTAAGTGTGTGACACTATTGTTGTTCTGCACTTTGAA